TATCAATGAAGTTCTCTCTCTAGAAAATTCTCTCTCTAGAAATTCATATCTAAATTGAAAATATGATTTCTAATTTATGAATATCCTAATTCAACCAAAATATATATGGAAATATCCTCTTATTAAAAAGAGAGGTTGTTTTTTTTTTTAAAGGAAAGTAGTTGTTGTGATTTTTAAAGAGATGTACCAAGCAACATACCACCTGCTGTATGGTAAAATTTTCATTATACTCTCTAGTTTTTTTTTACATGTATACACCTAACTGTAAAAGTGGAGGAAGGTTGAAGTTCAACAATATTTAACATTGCATAAATCTGAACTTGAAGAAAACCCTAAGAAAATTTGTGAAAATATAGGGAATGATTATCCCCCTTTAAGGTAGGGTGTTTTCCGTGAGAGGAAAATAAAGCTTCTACAATGGAGGAAGTTCAATAATGAAGGATGATAAAGCTTCATCAATGGAGTGAGAGAATGATATGACGACTTATTAATAGGACTGTATAAAGAGATATAATAAAATCAACACTTATTTTTATGTGAATTTTTAATTAGTTTTTATAAATGTTTTAAAAATAATGACAAATAGTTTTCGCTTTCATGAATTTTTTGGTAAGTTCGTTCCTTTTATGGAAATCTCCTTTGATCTAACCTTCTACCCCTTTTTTTTCTCCCTTAACTCGAACCTCTAACTAGACGTCGTCAACTTGCTTCGTGTTAGCCAACAATGCACCATAGTGTGAAACTATTATTATTATTTTTTAATATGGTAGCACAAATATCAAGATTCTTTTAATTTATCTATTAATTTACTGAATTGTCATTAGGAAAACATTTCTTATTTATCTAGGTGATTAACTTGAATTTTCGTGAAGGAGAGGTGTAATTAGACAAGTGATCAAACAAGGTTATGCCGTGGAAGAGTAGGCATTTGTGGTGGTGGTGGTGGTGGTGGTGAGTGGTGAACTGGTGACAAGTGTAGGAGAAGGTCAAATGGGTCAATTGGTAAGATTGTAGTGAAAAGTTAGAGGCGATCAGAACTGGTTATTGGGTAGGGTAGCCCAATAATAATAGGGTTTGGGCCAAGTTTAAAGGGTTTTTATCAGACATGACCTTTGTAGTATAGGGTCAATATAGAGTCAAAATATTTTTCCAATTTTTTTTGGTGTTTAGAGAGCCACAAGGGCGAGGGTGAGAATCGATCTCAGAATTTCCTGAAACCGGGAGGTTATTTTTCCAATTTAATAGACAAACAAAATAGATAACATAATAATACTTACATAGATAAATTTGTATTCATATACACTGATTAATGACTTTGTTGTTTCAAACAAAAAATAAAAAATAAAAAATAATGACTTTGTTCAATATTTATTTTAGTTGATATTTTATTGACCCATCCATTATTGACCCGTGATCTACATAAGCCCGATCCACTATTGACTTTAAAAATATGACCCGACCCGCCCAATAACCAGGTGCAGAGGCAATATCTATAATAATCTAATATATATATATATAAAGGGGAGTTTTTCCCCGAGTTATGATTTAATTTTCTTAGCGCACTATGTAGGATTATAAATTTAAGTTGTAGCCAATTAAATAAGAGATTATTAATTTCTTTTACAATTAAATAATTCAAATGCCACGTACGAAAAATTGACGAATGAGATTTTAAAGTTTAAATTAATTAAATACAAAATATTATTTTTAGAGCGAGATTAGGTATTTTATCTAATATTTTAAAAACTAATATAATAACAATTTAATCACATAAATATGAAAATATTTTTTTAAAAAATACTAACAAACCGTGCATCGCACGGGCTTCATCTAGTATTATTAAAACCTAAGGGAACAACATGGTCATGCCATTGTGTCACCCTTCCCACAACATGACTAGGCGACACATGTGTGTGAGGTGACATCTTACGTGTCACGTCTTTCCCCAATATAAATTAAAACTCTATAACTTTAATTAAAAAAAAAAACAAAAAACTCTTCATATGTATAACCTCCAAATTTAATTCTATAACTTTAATTCTCTACAATAATGTTTAATTTTCATCAAAAACTCTTCATATGCATAACCTCCAAATTTTAATTTGACATGCTTATTTTAAATATATATTAATGAAAGATCATGTAGATAATTACTCTGTATATATTTCACTCACTTATTAATAATTCGTATTGTTTAACATTAATCCTTTTTATTAATTTTGATCAAATTTAATTATAAATTTATGATTTATCGGGGCATCGCTCGGACCAATAACTAGGGTTCGTTTGGCATTGTTGTGGTTTTCTGTTTTTTAGTTTTTTGTTTTCTAAAAGTATATGATATGAGTCCCATAATGCATAAAAAATTATATAAACTTATTAAAATTATGATAATTATCAAAACTGACAATAGAAAAGTGAAAACTCCTTTTTTTTGTTTCCTGTTTTTTTTTTTTAAAAATGAAAACCAAAACTGATGCTAAACAAACCATACTTTAACAATTCATTAGTTGAAGAATAGAAGTGTTGGCTAATTCGATAACACGCGTAAGAAGACACGTCAGCCAAAATAGATATCGTAAACTAGGCCAATGATAGCGCGCGTGATGAAAAAATCGTGAAGAAGGCGGTTGTTATGGAAAATTTAAAAAAGGAAACTGAACTCGAAATAAAATCATAACATCGCCTATAAATAACCTAATTCTCCTTGATAAATCTGCTCCTGAATTAAAATTAAATCAACCAAAAGACCTTCTCTTCTTTCTTCTCTCTAACCTCTCCTTTAAAAATGGCAACAGCGGCGATTCTTCTACCTCCCAGCTTAATCCAAGATCAATTCTCCTCTCGCCGTTTCCGAAACACCAACCCTAACCCTAGAAATCACAACTCTCTTCGTTCTCATCGTCGCAAAAGAAGTCCTTCCGACGGAAATCGCCGACCTAATCTTGATTCTCTCTCTTCATCGCCGCCATTAAAGACGCCTGTCTTGGGCCAGGTCAAGATCCTCAAGAGAGGCGAAGAATTAAAGGCAAGAGTGCTGTTCGGCGGAGAAAATCTTGATTTAGGGTTACAGATGTGCTCCACAAATCGATTAGGTCCAGATCCGGATGTTGTACAGAATCAAATTAGGGTTCCGGATCTTTACGCTGGTACTACTTCCATGGTTTCTTCTCCTCACCCTAGCGCGCTCCCTTTCCCGGCGAGTTTGGTCCGGAAAAGCGAGGCGGAGAATAATCTCAGAAAGTTGCTCAAGATTTGATTACACCGTCCAAGAATTACGAATTCGATTTGAGGTAGTTGCTCAGAATTTGATGCCAACAAGATGTAGTTGATCCGTCGTCGGTGTTCTATGGTTTCCTTGATATTTTTTTACAGAAGGAAATCATAGCTTAGGTACTCTAAATGTTTTTTAGTAGCAGAATTATGGCAGTTTATTGTAATATACGAGTAATGTTCTATGTTGGAGGTAGGGTAATACTAGGGTTCTTGGGCAGAAGTTGTTTAGTTGTTATGGAGTAGGATATGATGATCAATTGTCAAGTTTAGAAGAAATAACACTATCTTTATATGTATTTCGTTCACGTATTGGAATAAAAGTTGTATGCTTCTTTCTTAAAGAAGGCTTCAATTCAATCTTTTACAATCTATCATGCTGTATATTGTTCGCGTTATCTAGTTTTGCTTGTTGTCATTGAACATAATCACCTGCAAGTTTCAACTGCTCAAGTGGCTCTAATCAATGAGGATTAGATATGGTAATGAGGATTAGATATGGTAAAGTTTTTTGGATCGGCACATATGATGTTATAATTAAGATCATGTTGGATGAATCTTTTTTTTTTCCAGCTTTTGAATTGTATCATATTTGAATATGGCGATAGTGCATATTGGTCTGTGGATTGTTGCAGGTGTTCATGATTCATGTCAGTGCTCTATAGATTTACAGAGCATACCAATATAACATCTGCAATTACTCAAGATATTGTGTGATGATATTGTGTGATCTCTGATGGTTAGATTGTGTAGTGGTAAAAGGATTTGGTATTGATGCCCTTTTATTTCTTGCCGCATAACTAATCTTGAAAGACCAGTTATAGGAGAGTGGGTGTAGCAGAGGCATTAGGCGCCTTTACCATCCTTCTTGAGTAGCAGAGAGTTGTTAGAAGCAAACATTCACTTTGATGAAGGTTTGTTTATTATTTTATTGCAATCTCTTCTGCTTGTCATTGTCCTTTTAGCTACCGATACTTGAATTTTGTACATGCCATTCTCTATTTTGTGTGATTGGTGATTGGAGCTAGAGGAAGATCTTTGATGAGATATGTATCTAGCTTGATTGCGGTACCTGAATAAGTTCTTTAAATGTCATGAACCTCATTTGTTTATTTTTACATTCACAGAGTAATGAAACCATGGTGCATTCTGGTTTCATTATTCAATTTTGGACGGCTTTGATGAATCATTTAAAACCATACCATTTTCCCCAGCAGGTGTACTGAGTCTTACAGGTTGCAATGGAGCCATGGAGGTATGATTTCATTTATTCCAGTTTCTACAAAATCGATATGATAGTGTCTCTCTATGTGGTGATGCAATTGACAATGTCTCAGCTGCTATGCTGTGTCACTTCTTTGTAATTTTTCATGTTTCTTTGTCTAAAATGTGTCCCAATTGTCATTAAGGGAACAAGATGTCAAGATACCTTTCTTTTTAATACGGCGATATGTTTTGAGATATATTCTTTCTTTGTGAAGAGGGAAGTATTTCAATGAGCTTTCTGTTATTGCTGATTTATTTCCTGAAGCGAATATCCAACATTATTTCGAGGTGAAGGTAGGCAAATAGCTGAACTCTTTTGGTAGGCAAATTAATGAGCAAATTTGACTTTTGTTGTGACTTGTGAAGTTGTGAGTACCATCACACACATAATTTGTGAAATTTACAACAGGGTAATTTACTTTTGTATCTATTTTATTTTTTTTGATTATATATGTATTTTTTTTATGGAGAATGTCTCTATAGGAAGGATGTAAGTTTTGTGCATTTAGACCTTCTTAGGGTCAAGAATATGTGTTATAATTTCATACTGTCACATTACAACTTTATGCTTATGTTGAGAAAGCAATGGTTAATAGTGATTTTATCTTGAAAGTTTTGTGCTGAAATTGCACTCCACATTACCACATAGATGTGAAAGATTACAAATTTTAATTTTATTTGATTATTTTTTATTGGAAAGGAATAAACTGTGATTTTGAAGATGTAGATACTTAGGCTATAGCAATTGCGGGAAAGATGTTCAGGCCTAATGCTCTCATTTCATATTATGTATATGTATCCAAGCCTCTCTTGTATGAGTACACACAAAAATTATCAGGGCCAGAAAAAAAGCAAGTATAAATACATTCTACAACAGCTATGCAGTTGTGTTAGCAGCACCTATTCAACTTAGCTACCATTAATTACAGACTCCTGGGGCATTATCCTCTTCCAAAACCAATGCTTTTGCCATAAAAGGATCATCTCTTCAATCGGTACATTCTTAGTCTCAGGCAAGAACAAGAGTACAAATATGGTCATGACGGTAACCCAGCCAGCGAAGAACAAGAAAATCCCGAATTTGAGGTGGCATAGCAGATATAGGAAAGACTGTGCAATTATGAAAGTAAACAGAAGATTGACTGCTACTGTTATACTCTGCCCTGCTGATCTGGTTTCCAGCGGAAATATCTCACTAGGGACGGTCCATCCTAGGGGTCCCCATGACCACCCAAAGGCCAGCACAAAGAGGCATATCACAATCACCACTATAATGGAATAGCCCTTTGATAGTTCCCCTGCTGTTCCTAATTTTATTCCCAAGATAATTGCCACAATAACCTGTTTGATGATGCAAGTTAGTAACAATTGTTGTAGTGTATGATGAAGACAATATGTTCAGACATCTTCAATATAAGTAAAGAATATTATGCTAAAAGTTATAGAATTTATTCTAAGTCATAATTTCATAATTTACTGAAGTCTAACTCTACAATTGTTTTCAGGGAATTCATAAAGGCTTACTTGACAAGTGATCATCGTTATTCCTCCACTGATAAGCAGCGCCCGTCTTCCTAGTCGATCAACAGCTGCAATGGAAATCAATGTCGAGGAAGCAAGCACAGCTCCTGTTAGAGCTGAGGAATAAAGAGAGGCGTTTGCAGCAAATCCCATACTCTGAAATAGCACAGGAGCATAAAACAGAATAGAATTTATTCCTGTAAGGATCTGAAATGTTGGCATGAAGATGGCCATAATCAGCTGTGGCCTGTTCCTCCGCTGTAAGATGTTTCTGAAAGGGTGCTTAATTGACTTGGCAAACTCACTCGCTTCAACCATGTCCTGATACTCTGCAGAAACATTCTCTGTCCCTCTGATCCTTTCTAGAACCTTGCGCCCTCTCTCAGTCAATCCTCTTTCGATCAAGCTGCTGGGTGTCTCAGGGACAAGTATTCCTCCGATTGTCATCAAAGTTGCTGGAAGTGCTGCTAGGCCAAGTGATAGCCTCCATCCCCATGGTTCGAGTTTTGATGTTCCATAGTTGATCATGTTTGCTGTGAAAATCCCTAGGGTGGTTGCTAATTGGAACATCATGTTCACACCCCCTCGTATATGTGTTGGTGCCATTTCAGACAAATAAAGAGGAACTGCCTGAAAGCAAATGATTGAATTCGAGTCATACTTTTGCATGCCATGGACCGATTGGTAAGTAAGTGAGAGTATAAATTTTTGTCAGGATGCTTTGCTCTATGCCCTATAAAGCCAATTTATATACTAGTATAACACTCTTAAATGTGCTGTTGTATCTCACAAAATCTTCCATTTGGCTTAAGTTAAGAAGTAATATATTTTCAATATAAAATATTTACAAGCTGGCTATAATTTTTGTGGGAAGCAACCAGTTTACAAAGATAAATAGGAAAACAAGGGAGTGAACCTGATTTCCAAATCCGATGCCAAATCCAAGCATG